TATCAACTATTTTCTTTTTCCTGAATACAAACTATCATTATCCATGTACTAAAAAGATACACATCAAATATCCGTTGTTCCTTTTTTCTATTCAAAGGATAATGATTAATCCAAATAGTAAACATGAATAACTTATAGTTAAGGTGCGTTTTAATACATTGATGATAATAGTTATAAAAATTAAATAAAAAGAAACATTTGATAACTAAGGTATGATATTGACTTGAAAAACCTCTAATTCAAATATTTTTCGACCATTAACTATTCTTTTAATCTACTTAATTATAGTCTTATAGATTGTCACGACCCAAAAATGGACGTGATGACACTCGTCTTAATCCACCAAGACAAATTAGCCTAAAACTCAATCATTACAATAAAATGCAAAATTTTTTATAATAAACTCAAAAATATCCCCAAAATCTGGTTGTCACGTGTACAAGCCTTTAAAGTATTACAATTGAATCAAAAGAAAAATACAAGTCTCATATGACATTGTTTCTAGAGTAGAACAAGATCACAAACATGAGTAAGAAGGTCTGCTGAGTTGACAAACAACTACCTCACAAATCTCCAAGAAGCCTCGGAAAAGAAGAGAATATATCATAAATGTCCGGGCTAGTAACCTACAAAAAATTGTAGAAACAAGGGGTGAGTACCAAACCACACGGTACTCAGCAAGTAAGCCTCTAAACACAAGCTAAGGGGATAGAATACGGGTACTCCTTACACCCCAATCGAACCTCCACAACTACAACCTGCATAAAACCAGCCCAACCTAACAGCTCATAATTCACATAGCACACAACTCAACAACAACACTCTAACAATTACATATCCTCAACAACAAACTCAATATTCATCAATCGAAATTCCACAGAAAGGCACTCACAAGATCATCAAAACGCAATATCAAGTTCACCAATGATAAATATGTGCAATGCAATGTCAAGTATAATGATGCATGTCTGATCTAGTGATACACACCCGCTGTCTCTCAGTTCGGGACCCATGAGGGACATATCTGTCCATGCATCCATCGCGGCGCGTGATACGTCCCTCGATATATAGTATCCATCGCGGCGCGCGATACGTCCCTCAAAATATAGAATCCATCGCAGCGCGCGATACGTCCCTCGAAATGGTACATCCTCTTATCACATAACACTTATCACAACCATGTCTTAGAACCAATGCAAATGACATATTCACACAAATAATGAGGAGATGACCATTTTCATAACAATACACAATTTACAACAATACAACCGTGATACAACATCAACAATGATTCAACATGTCTTTCAACCCAGTCTCAAACATCATACATCAACAATTAAACACATTGCCTTTTATTACCCCTTTTTCATCATTAGAAAATAATGAATATGTACAAGTCAACCCATCACCAAGTCTCATTACCCCCAAACACATATCACAAGGAAATACATGAATTCCATACACTTAACAAGGGTTTAGAAATCCACTTGCCTCAAGTAATCGAACAATCACTCCGGGACTTCAGCCTTTCCCTTTTGCTGAGCTTCCAAATCAATGCAAATCTAATCAAGTACATAATCACAATAAGATTTTGAAACTAGCAACACCCATTTTACTATAGGTTTAGCCTAGACCCAAAATCTCACTCAATTTATAATCAAGTTCCTAAATCTTGATTCCAACCAATAGGTCAAATCTCATATTTCCTAAATTTCAAGTCTAAGGTTAAGTCATAATTTCTCCAAACACTACAACCCTGAGAGTTTTCATATAATATAATATACCCAATATTCAATTTCACATCTTAATATATCAAAACTTGAATCATAATGTGATAACTAGATATTAACTAATGTCAAATATTAGTGATGTGCCTCAAAACAATTTGCAGATTAACATATTTCTAATGTTCAACTATAAACATTAGTTCACTAAACTATTAGCTCCACAATCACGTCCAATGATTAGGCCGTCATTGTCCAATGATTAGGTCTCATTGGACAATGATTAGGCATTATAAATCAACCATATTCCTACCCCAACTTCAATACATACGCCACTGACTTTGTTTCAACTTTTCCTATTCAATTTTCTTACTTTCTTTCACAACCAACATTGCAGTAATAATCATTAAAATACGACATAAGCCAATAAAAATGTCAAACCTATATTCGTTCAATAATGGTATCAATATGTAATAACTTGCCACTCACATTTTGTCCCCTTAAGACCCAATTCTAATAGCATACACAATTAAGTGTTCACTCTTTTTCCTTTCACCATTAAGAAGATTGTCACACTGACGCCACATGCATGTGATTATTAGTGGGAAATATTAGTTAACTAATGGGACAATTTAGTGTAAACTCTTTCACTAGAAATTATGTATAAAACAACAATCATAAAAGCTCAGCCAAAATACTTACGTGAAGGAAGAGCACTCGCTGCTCATTGATGTCGCTTAGGGTTTCTCCCTATTCTTTTTTTTTTTCTTTTCTAAAATAATTAAATAGGTTAAATCTCACTAATTTTATTTATATACACGGGTCAAGTGATAAAGGGTACCAAGTAAATTATGGACTTGACCCATTAACTCCCAACTAAATAAATTAATTATTTAACAAATATCCATCAACTAAATAACCGTAGTTAAACAAATAGTTCAAAATTCCCAACCAACTTCATAAACTGATCAAAAGTGACTCAGGGCAACTATCGAGATGGATAAAACGATAATTTTATAAAAATTTCTAAAAATGACTTTCCGGATCATTACATAGATACTCTCTCTACGCACTAGTAAAGTTTTTATTACCTATAAAGTCACATTCTTTAAATGTGCCTAAATTTTCTACTTCAATATTCTAAATAAAACAATCACACAAGTCGTCACTTTGCATTAAATTTGGCAAGAAGTCTACATTCAATTTTTTTTCTATTAAAGACGGCTACCAATTACTCCCTCCGTCCCATTTTATATGTCATCCCTTTCTATAAATTGTTGGTCCATAATATTTGTCATTTCATAAAATCAATGCATAAATTACCATATTATTCCTTTTTTACCCTTGTGAGTTATTAGCCTTGAAAAGATATACATTTGACCAACTTAGAAAAACCAAGTAAATTATTCATGTTCATTGGTTAAATTAATTAATCAAAATAAATTAATTCATATTCATTGATTGAAAACTTGAGTTCCAAAAATATTAAATAAGGGTAGAAGGGTAAAGTTACATCATTTCTTAATGCAAATACAGAGTAAAAATGTGACATAAAATGAAACAAAGAGAGTACTTACTTTACTTCTGGTAACTATTCTTTCGTCTTTAATCAGATATTTCATATTTAAACTTTATTGGTACACATAGTCAACTTTTATCATAAAGTTCATCACACTTTTTCGTTTAATAAATAAAGGTAGCCAATGTCACCAACTCCACAAATAGCTCCTCTCTCATACTTCTTTCCTCTGTAGAATAACAAAGCATACCATGGCTACTTTAAGGGTATTGATGTTCCCATTTTTGGCTTATGGACACATATCTCCATTTCTAAACGTAGCTAAGAAACTCGCGGACAGAGGATTCTTGATTTACTTCATTTCAACTCCGATAAATCTCAAATCCACCATCAAGAAAATCCCTGAAAAGTATGCTGATTCGATTCAGCTTATCGAACTTCACTTACCAGAATTACCCGAACTTCCTCCTCATTACCATACTACCAATGGTCTCCCACCCAATCTCAATCACATCCTTCAACAAGCCCTGAAAATGTCCAAACCAAACTTTTCAAAAATCTTGGAAAATCTGAAACCTGATCTGGTGATTTATGATGTATTGCAGCAATGGGCTGAACGTGTCGCGAATGAACAGAACATTCCAGCAGTTAAGCTTATAACTTCGGGTGCAGCTGTGTTTTCGTATTTTTTCCACATACTGAGGAAACCAGAGGTTGAATTCCCTTTCCCTGCTATTTATCTCAGGAAAATTGAGCAAGTAAGATTGAGTGAAATGGTTGCGAAATCTAATAAATCGAAAGAACCTGATGATGGGAATCTTCTAGTTGATGGGAATATGCAAATCATGTTGATGAGTACTTCTACAACTATAGAAGCCAAATATATTGATTATTGCCTTGAATTGAGCAATTGGAAAGTTGTTCCAGTTGGTCCACCAGTCCAAGATCCAATCACTAATGACGCGGACGATATGGAGCTCATAGATTGGCTAGGAACAAAAGATGAGAATTCAACTGTTTTCGTCTCCTTTGGGAGTGAGTATTTCTTGTCAAAAGAAGATATGGAAGAAGTAGCTTTCGGGTTGGAGTTAAGTAATGTTAATTTCATATGGGTTGCAAGATTTCCGAAAGGTGAAGAGAAAAATATTGAAGATGCATTACCAAAAGGTTTTCTTGAAAGAATTGGAGAAACGGGAAGAGTTTTGGACAAATTTGCACCACAACCAAGAATTCTAAATCATCCGAGTACCGGAGGATTTATAAGTCATTGTGATTGGAATTCAGCAATGGAAAGTATAGATTTTGGGGTTCCTATAATCGCCATGCCTATGCATCTTGATCAACCAATGGTTGCTAGGTTGATCGTAGAATTGGGAGTTGCGGTGGAGATTGTTAGAGATGATGATGGCAAAATTCATAGAGAAGAAATAGCGGAAACTCTTAAAGGTGTCATAACAGGGAAAACAGGGGAAAATTTGAGGGCAAAAGTGAGAGATATAAGCAAGAATTTAAAATCTATAAGAGATGAAGAGATGGATGCTGCTGCTCAAGAGCTAATTCAACTTTGTAGGAATAGTAATAAGTGAATCTTATGATTCAATTAACAAAATAATATTGTATGTAAGGTGTTTTTGTTTGTCTTCAAAATATATTGAGGTTGAAATAATGAGAAAAACATAGAATACCATGTAGGATGCGTGTGTCTATTTGTTCAACTTTATACATGTTTAAGTTTCTACGCATAAATGTAAGTTGAGGCCAAATTAAAGGGCATTTTTTTGTATTATGTCTATAATATAACTAGTACAACAATAACAACGCGATTCTTTGTCCCAAACATTGTTGGGTTGGCTATGTTTATTTCACATAATCATTACATTAACTATAATCAATTAGCATAAATGTCTGCCTCAACGGGATTATCTAACAAAGCTATTGAATCAGATGAAAATGTCGTAGAACTTCCCATGATCTGATGAACAATTGGTTGAGATTGAAGAGGCTGAGGAGGTACTTCTAGCACTTCAACTTCGCCTTCAAGCATTTCAACTACTTTACTCATTGAAGGGCGTTGTATCGGATTTGTTTGTATACACCATAATGCAATCAAACACAGCTTCCTAGCAATCTTCTTTTCATCATCGTTCGCTCCTTCATCCACCACAATCTCTTTCCCCTTGTTGAACTTATCGTAAATATAATAAGGAAAGTATTGGCTGGAATTCTCTTCATTTGCAACTTCATTTCTCTTCAAGTCCAACATTTCCATTAGCAGCATTCCGAAGCTGTAAACATCAGCTTTGTACGAGATTGCTCCAATGCTTCTGCTGATCAACTCTGGAGCAACATATCCAATCGTTCCACGAGCAGCTGTGAGAGTCACAATGCTCTTATCTGTTGGATATAATTTCGCAAGCCCAAAGTCAGAAATCTTTGGAATGAAATTCTCATCCAAAAGAATGTTGTGTGGTTTGATGTCAAAATGCAAAATTCGTACATCACAGCCTCGATGCAAATACCCGATTCCTCGAGCCACTCCTAGAATAATGTCATACTTCCTCTGCCAACTTAACAGAGGACTTCCTTCTTGACTGGTACTGATGTACTTATCAAGTGATCCATTGGGCATGAAGTCGTATACAAGAGCACGCTTTGTTCCCTCAACGCAATACCCCATGAGTCCAACCACGTTGACATGATGAATCCTTCCGATGGTAGCTACTTCATTCATGAAATCTTGCCCACCGGCTTTAGGCTTGCTCAACATCTTCACTGCTGCATCCCTTCCACTTTGAAGCTTTCCTTTGTACACAGTTCCGTAACCTCCCTCGCCTAATTTCTCTTTGAATCCTCTTGTCATTCTCTTTATGTTGGAGTAATTATATCTGATTGGCATGAAATTGTTTTGTGTTTGCAAAAAGCCTTCAATCGTATCATACATTGACAAATGCCTCCTTTTGAATTTGTACACGAGAAATGCAATTACCAACGGAAGGCCGATCACAAATTTTGCTACCAAATACACTGCACGTTTGAGAAATCATAGAAAGTAACTTCCCCTTAGGCCAACAAAACATAGAAATGATAAGGAGATAGAAGGCAATGTTTTCAGAAATATTGCTATTAACAGCTTTCTATACTTACACTATAAGGTACACAATCTTTACTTATATCATCATGACGTATAAAGGATTCAAAGAAATTAGTTATTTCTATTAACATCTTTACTAATGATTTTGTATTTCGAATTTTTGTGTCGTGCTCACTTTTATGCCATTTAAACACATGATCAATGGAATGATAAGTTTTGTGCAGCCAAATAACATACAGCTTAATGAAGGGATACATAAGTAATAAGAGCTTACTCGGGAAAAGCTCAAGTAGCGCCAGACTGATCCCTGGTTTGATTAAAGTGCAAAATATTTAGAATGAGAGATCAATGGAGAATTAAAAGCATATGTAGAGAAAAGTTTGAGTACTCACTGGGAATCATTAAAGCAACACCTACAAAGACATGAAGAAATCAAATTGTAGTGAGTGAATCCATTGTTTTCCTAATAAAGGAGAAAATCATATATAGTTGAAGTCGTTACTTATCCTTTTTCCGAAACCCGGATAATAGAGCTCAAAGCCATAAAGGATTGCTTGATGAAAATCAGAAAGGGAAATGTTGATCTCTGCATCTTTAATATTAGGCCATGAGGTAAAGCCTATAAATTCTGCTCTGCATCCATCACTCACTTCAGAGACATTCATTTCTCCAATCTTTAAATAAGTGTATCTGCTTAATTTGCAGCCACTAATTTCCACAAATGTCGAAGAATTATTAATAGGAAACGGACAGTTGAACATGAAGATGGGCTCAGCTATTGTTTTATAATATCTATTAGTATACTTATATGATTGAAAGATTCTATTGTATTGGTTGAAATTAAGCTGAGGTCTGAAAGAGCATAGATCATCTTGTTCTTGTGTTTGTAAAGTTGGATCTACCAGGTGAATTGTCCGATTATCATAGCCGATGCCTTGAACGTGCAACTTTTTGGAGAATAACCATATAACTGTTTGGTTACCTTCACAAGCTAATTCAAATTCTGGATATTCTCTGCAATATTCTGGATCGGTGTTTAAACGAAAAGGGTAGTGTATGTTACGGATATCGCCACAAGCAGAAGGAGGACAGTAGTGTTTGCTCTTCCGAGCATGGCATGTTTGCAGAAAGATGATTTGAAGGATTAATGTAAAGTATTTAAGCTGAGAGTTTCCTTTAGACATTTGTGTATTACTCAGGTTCAGCTGAGACTTCACAATTATTGTTGAGTAAATGCAATTATTGATGGGAAAGTTGCAAGTTGATGAAGGGCCCTCATGAGGAAGACTTTGACGTTTACCAATTTGTTAGTGAGGGAGATGGATATGTCATGTTTCCCCCACATGCCAAACACACCTTTTGCTCAAACTGTGTATTTGTGTTGAACGGTTCTGACTTTATATATTTATTTATAGGCATAATACATAAATATATATTTTAACTTGACCTCATTTTATATTTATGTCCTCCAATTTAGGGTGTGCACAAGTATACACTTGAACTTGTGTAAAGTTGAACAAATAGACATATGTGTCCTACATGACAATTTGGGTCCTATGTGGTGTCCTATGTGTATTATATATACATCACGTAGGACTCATGTGTCTATTTGTTCTAGTTTATAAAAGTTTAAGGACCCGTTTGGTAGGCGGTATTAGATAAAATAATCCATGGATTAAAATTTAATCCATCTAATACATTGGTTACTTTATTTAATTTAATCCACAGATTGCTTATCCACCATATGTGGTCTTATCTTATCCCTAGAAAATGGAGGGATAACTAATCCAAGGTTTAACAAACCTCAGATAAGATCCCTAAATGACTAAACTATCCCCTTATTCCTTTTCCTAAATTTCTTTTGTAATTTAATTTCCTTTTTATTTATATTGAAATGGTTATAAATGTTCTTTTTTAATTCTCCAAATTCGTTTTGTGTAATTTAATGATTTCACTAAAAAAAAATTCTCCATTTTTCTTGACTTTTTTTCTTTAAGATAGTTTGTCAATTAACCACTTGAACTATTTATTTTTATTTTTATTTTTAAAAAAACAAGCTTTAGGTATTGAACAATTTAAGTAGTCTTAAATCTATGTTAAGTTTAAGATATACTTGACCAACAAAAAATTAGAAATACACCGTGCCATTAATGATCTCCTTAAAAGTGGTACATCACACCTTAAAATTAATAATAATTATATATATATACATATTTGACTTAACTTGTTAAATGGAATAGAAAATCCAACAAAAAAATAATATTGTCCGGCGGTTATCTACTTTGACTCAATTACATGAAATTAACAATCTCATAATTACACAAGATTAAGTGGAAAGTAATGAACCAAACACTTGACAAAAAATAATCCCTACATTACTAATCCATGAGTTACTAATTTCTGCATTACTAATCCCTGCATTGTCAATGTTTGTACCAAACGACTCCTAAGTGTTTACTTGTGCAAACTCAAAGTTAAAGGGTATAAATGTAAATTGAACAAGTAGGCACACATGTCTTACGTGACATAATACACATAGAACGCCATGTAGGACACAAAATTGTCATGTAGGACGAATGTGTCTATTTGTTCAATTTTATACAAGTTTAAGTGTCTACTTGTGCACACTCAAAGTTAAAGGTCATAGTTACCAACTGAAGTCAAGTTAAGGATCGTGTTTATATATTATGCCAATAATAATATCATTGTTACGAGTTATGACTTTAATTATTGAAAAAAAGGGGAAAAAATCTCTCTCTATATATAAAGGAGGAGCATAGAGAAGGTGATGTGGCACCTTTCTATGGCCTCCATTCATATTTACCCATTTTCTCTTTTTTTGAGCATTTTTCTTTAGTTTATTATTTATTTATTTTAAATATCTCATAAAGTCTTTATACTCAATTACTCAACTTTTCATCTCCCACTATAATATATCTTCTTTATTAGATATAATGTGCATATATTCATAACTCTCTTAATTTTCAACTTTTCATATTCATAACCTTCTCCACTATAATATATCTTCTTTATTAGATATAATATGCTATAGTTATAACTCTCATAATTTCCAACTTTTCATATTCATAACCCTTAAATATTAATTATGAAAGTTAAGATACCTTATGATATTCCTCCATTATTTTCAATATGAATTCATATTTTGTTTCATTCTACCCAAAGTTACCCTTCATTTTCACTATAGTATCATATTTATGCTTTTGTTTGGCTTGAAAAAGAAGAAAGCTTTTGAATAGTGATAGGCTTGTGAAGTGATATTGACAAGAGCTTAGATAATTATGCGTTGATTTCCTTTTCCTTCTATTTTTTAATGATATGTTTATTGTACTATTTCTTTTTTCTCTTTTTTTTTTTCTTATGTATCTCTATGATGCCTCTTAAATTTATTTTTTATATGAAGAAAGCTTTTGAATAGTGATTGATTTGTGAAGTAAATATCAACAAGATTGATGCCTCTTTGCTTTTATTTGATTTGAAGAAAAAAAAAGCTCATCAATATTGATAGGTTCGTGAAGTGGATATGAAAATATTTTAGACAATTATGTATTGATTTTATTTTTCCTTCTATTGTAAATTTAAATGATTAAAGTCACATTGATATGTGTATTGTATTATTTCTTTCTTTCTTGTGAATCTTTATGATGCTTTTTATGTATAATTTTTATAGGAACTTCTTATTGTTGTAAGTCTATAATTTCTTTTAGTTCAAATTAGTATTATAAAATACTAGAGTAGATCCTAATGAGATATCACTTCCTCAGGAATTTATCTTAGTTATATTTGAAATTTTGCTATAAATACAAATCAAGTTTAAAATTTATAAATCTTTTCTCTTGGTTCAAATTAGTAACTTAATTATGTTAAAATTCTGATACTAATCAAATTTTAAAATTTATAATTAATTGCTTAAAAGAAATAAAATTTAATAAAGTAATTTTTTATTTGTTGTTTATTATGTAAGTTCTTAAAGCTACCGATAAATATGCTTGCATAAAAAGTTTAAAAGATAAATATAAATAACATGAATGGAGAGATGATGCGGTAATTCTAAAAAAGTTTATATACACAAAGAAGAAACATTTATATTATTTGAAATAATTGAGACAATGTATGCATAAAAAGTTAAAAGATAAATATAAATAACATGGAGGGAGAAATGATGCGGTAATTCTAAAAAAAGCTTATATACACAAAGAAGAAACATTTATATTATTTGAAATGATTGGGACACAATCATAGTTATTGATATTATAAAGAAAGAGTATAACTTACGTTTTCATCATATGGTCAAGTTGTATTGTTTATTATTTTTCTACAAAATTCAATTCATTAAACATAATTACATTTCATATTTGGTTAGAAGAGGGCGGAAAAGATCAAAATGAATAAAGTTAAATTTAACAACACAAATGAATAACATAAAGTATTAACTAAGTATAAGTTTGTTTTATACTAGGGGATTATAAATTAGTACTAGATTTATCTCTAAAATTCAAAAATAAGAAGATGATGTATGTATATTTAGTCAAATATATATTGTATCTGAATTAATAGCCTAAATATAGAATAAATATGAGAAGAGGGCATTTTGGGTCACCATTGTTTGAGTTCATTTTGGCTTACATGCTCATAATGTTTTGAAATTTTAATAACAATTAGTTGACTGACTTTCTAAGAACAAGAATGTTAATTATATCTTTTCACGTTATAA